GTGGTGAATTTCAATTAATTTAAAGTTTGAATTTTGTTGTTTATAGTTATATGTCTATAATTGTGTTGGTTCGGAACATATATTTTGATTATATCTCTGTTAATAGGATGTATAATGTTGTGTTCTGTTGCTTGCACTATTGTACGTCTTTGATTTTTGAGTAGTGATTGTAGAAATAGATAGATAACAAAGGCTTGAATATTTAAAGCCTTTGCCTTTCTTCGAAAGAGTTGTGTGTTGAAAGGTTTTAAAAAAGAAGTATTGAAACTCTTAATTTGGCCATTTCTTTTGGATTAAGGATTGCTAGGAAGTTTTATTTCCAATTTAATCATTCATCAAATCTGATGAATGCCTAAGTTACAGAGATGGTTGCTGTTATTTGTATTTTGACGTGTTTTTCCTTCTATAATAGCCCTTGCTTTATAAGGCCTCTGTTTGTCAAACCTAAAGTGTAAATTAGCACAATGTTTGTATCCTTTTTTTTTTTTTTTTTTTTAATACGGAAATGATGTGTGCCCTGTTCTGATTTCAATCTCTTACCCTTGCCATTTAAGTGAGATTTGTTTTGAATACCAATCATGATACAATGACAATATTTTTAAGAAATCCCCAAATAGAATTGTTTGTAATTTGTGTATCTGGTAGTGATTCTTTGCTCGGTAGGCATATCATGTATGATTAGTATTGCTGTTTGGTTGGGAAGGTTGTACTTCCTTAACAGAATTCTGCCTTTTCACACGTTGATCTGTCTGAATTTGGTTCTGCTTCTCAAGTTGATTTCTGTGTATATTGATTAATGTTCTTTATTTTAAATTCAGAACCACCGTCTTTAGCCACTCCCAGACTGTTGTGGTGTGCGGTAATTGCCAGACAGTTTTGTGCCAGCCCACAGGAGGTCGTGCCAGACTTACTGAGGGTTGCTCTTTCAGGAGAAAGGGAGACTAAACAAATCCTTCAGAGTAATTTTGTTACCAGAAAGAGTACGTGCTTAGCCTTGAGTTGGTGAAATGAAGCATCCTTTTGTCACTCCATTTCTGTTACTTTTTTATGTTTTGAGGCCCATGTAAGTGGCTCAGGAACTTAATTTAAATGGTAGCGGTAGTCTTATGGTATGAGATGATTTTGTTTTAAAAGTTTGTGATAATACTATTGGTTTTTTGAGTGACCGTTTGGTTGTAGTGACTAGCAAAATTTTGTTATGCTGTTGCCTTTTTCTTGTTTACCTAAAATTTGAATCAGGATTTGTTCATTTTGATCATTGTTCACACGGTGATATGCTATTCAGATTGCAAGTGTTTGATGAATAGTAGCAGGTAAATTTCTCAATATAATTGTTGTACAAAATTTCCAATACTAGTCATCAATTGTACTAGCTGACATGGTGGTACAGCTTGTAAAAAACATAGGAAGATGTGGAATAACTAAAATTTAGACATGGTGGTAAGACTGGTTAAGGCACTTGATTTTAATCTATCTTGTGGAACTCAGTTTCTCTTTTCGGGACTCTCTGTTGTACTTTTACACAGATCTGCACTATATTGGACAATTGAAATTAGTACCTTAAACCAATGTTAAGGCCAGAGCTTTGTATAATGCACTTATTTTCATGATTCAATTGATGATATGGATCCTGTTAGACCTAAATTCAAGTAATAGACAATCCGAATATGTTCAAACCTTTGTACGGTGATTTTTTCAGTTGGGTGAGCAGTATGATGCATTTCTGCTGCATCAAAGTCAGCCTGACCTGCTGCCTCAGCCTGAATTTTGGGCGGGCTTTCGGTAGCTCTTTCCAACATGGCTCAAGTTCTTTTTATTTTTTAGATGGGCTTAGGCACTCCTTTATATGCATTTTTAGATGATTTTTTTTGGCTCCATATGAAAAGGCCCAAATGGCCTGCCCTTTTTGTGCGGGTTTGGACATGTGATTTTCGGCTTGAAGCTTAGCCCGCCACGATTTGAGGAATGGGCTATTTTTTTGGCCTTGACACGGCCCGACTCGCACTTTGAACAGGTCTAGTGTTGAACCACAATCTTTAACGCTTTTCCTTATTCATTTAAACTACTCCATCAATAACTACGAGGCATTTTAAAGGGAGGAAAGTTATGTACCTATTGGTACATAATAGGGGCATAATGGTAACTTAGTAAAATAAAAAAGTGATGAGACAACCTATTATCACTTTAATTTTCAGGTTTTAATTGTACCACTAGTGATTTTAATACCATTACAACTACTATTATATTTTTACACTCCATTGACATAATTTTAATATCTAGTGGTACATATATTAGCTTCAAAAATATACCATTGTAACAATCTTTAGTGTAATTTTAACTATTTACAGTACTATTGTAATAACAATGATACATTTCACATCTCAGTGGTACTAATGTTAATTTTTAAAATATTTACAAATTGTCATATTATGTACCAACAAATACATAACATTCTTCTATTTCTACTTCATTCAATAACTATATACTTCCTCTGTCCCATAATATAGTTCCTGTTTATGTTTTGTCACGATATTTAAGAAATAGGAGGAGAAAGTAGATGAAGTACATTAATAAAAGTGAAAAGTACAATTATAGACAATAGTTAGAAAGAGAAAGTGGAAAAGAGTACAAGGCATGTGCAAAATTCAAGGGTAATGTAGGTAGTACAATGAATAAAGTAAAAAAAATGAGGGTATAATGACCTTACATACTATCTAAAAATAGAAATAGGATCAACATTTTAGGTCTCCAAAATAGGAAAACAGGAACTATATTATGGGACGGAGGGAGTACTAAAAGACACCATCAATGACACGTGTCATCTCCTGGCGTGTCTTTAAATTTTTTAATTTTCTTGTATTATTTTTGAGAAAAACCCTTTTTTTTTTTTTAATTTTTAATATTTTTGTAAGTAAAGTTATAATTAGGTAAAAAAAAAATTGACTAAAATGTAAATGACCTTAATGTAGAAATTATGTTAATTATTGTTTAAATCTTTAATTTTAGAAAGAATAAAAAAAAAAGTAATTACATTATTAGGAAAAATATCATATAGATTACACTACAATCCATAATTATAATAAAAAAGATCTTGGTTAATTACTTTTGCCAAATAAGTTATTATGATATTTAATTAGAGTTCATAACAGGAGAAAAGTTAAATAATGAAATAATATTTTGCTGGAAAGATATGAAATAATATTTATTTTAGGTTGTATGGTTTTAGATAAAAAAGTAGAGTGATTTTAAAGTGTGTAAAAAGAAAAATTATTCGCGAGGTTAGTTGCATAGCTTTAAAATTTTCATTTAATTAACAAGAAAAGTAATACTATAATAGTACCACTTATACATAAATATAATCATATGATTAAATGAATAACTCTTAAGTACATATTTAGCTAATTTGCCTTTTCAAGATTATGTTTCATTTTAGTAAATATTTAGTAGTTTAGTTCACACTATTTTTGATTTTTTTTTACACTAATTAAAATAGTGCTAAATTGATAATAATATTGAAAATCACTGTACATGCGTGGCACAAGACCTAACTTAGTATTTACTATTATTTTGTCGGTAATTAATCAGGCTCTTCTCTTTTGATGTAGCTTTTTCATAATCGGAGTACATCATGCTATATAGTTTGCTTGACTCCATGTGGATTTTGTAAAAAGATCAACTCATTAATAACCAATCACAGACTTCGATCTGCAGCTTAAGCAAGATTGGTTTTTAACTTTATCAAATATGATCCTTGCTTGTCACTTAACATTGTCTAGTGATAATTAGGTTTTGTTTTTATTAGGTATAGTTGTCAATAAATGGTGCTTTTATTGGAGACTTATATGAACATTGATTAGTGTTGATTAGATGAGTTTAGGTCACCTTTGTGTATAACTCCCTTTTCTTGTGTCTTTCAAATGAAACGCAAGTTATTTGTTTTTCTCAATGTGTCAATAAACCATTTTGCAGTGTAATTTGATACATTTGAAAACTTTTTAAATTACAGTACATTGCTATGGTATTTGAGGTCGTGTGAGATTATTTATTGTGATTTAAAAAGTATACTGAGGAAGTGGTTGAAAATGTGTTTAATGGTGAAGTCCAGGCTATCATGGAAATACTCATATTCAGGACACTTTATACAAATTGTCACGATTTCTCTAACTCGAGTGTGACTTTTTTGATGAGCCTAATATTCCCGGTAGTGAGCCTATAATATATGATTGTAACATGATTTATAATAAGTTCAATAAGAATTAGTAACTTACCCAAATTTAATTTTATTATATTAGATTGGATTACGATTTTTATTTGAACAGTGGGCTCCCCTTCTCCTACCCAAATGGATCCTCAGAACACTTTTAGTTAGGGTTTGGGGGTGAAAATCTAACTATGCTTGCTAATGGTTGATCGAACCTAAATCTACCGCAAGTGGACGGGTCAATTACTGTAAATATAGGGTGAGCAAGGTATCGTATCCTCAAGGAGGTCTAATCAAATACCAAATTAAGAAACTATAATATTATTTAGACGACAAAAATATGGTTGGATTAAAATTAAAATACTACTACTAAAAACTAAAAACTAAATATGTAGCCGGAATAATAATCAAATATGAGGAGTTCTAGGTTTTGGGTTCACCTTTTACTTTTCTACCAATGAATATAAACTAAATGTAGGGTTGAAATAACATATTGCAATGATCGAAATTCCTATAGTATATATTCTCCTCTTCCAAGGTAGAATACGTATGTCTATATCAATCTTATGTCTACTTCCGTGATCATAACAATTATCATAAACTCATTAAGAACATGATTTCATATAAAAGACCACCTCAAATGAATAACTATTCCTAAATTTATTCTACTTGACGTTGATAATCCCACGAACTAATATTAAACTTTCACTCCCGCTAATAATTTGATACCTTAAACGTACAATCAATTGGCCAGATAAACTATACAAATTAAAATCAAGATTATCAAATTGCAATAATATAAATCAAACCCAAACAAAATACTTCAATCCATTGATAAATTAATAAAAGACTACACTTTTAACCTAGAACAAAGAAATCTAGCAAGCCATGAAAATCAATTCAACCCAATTGTATAACAATGACAAATTAATACTTGACATAATAATTAATCAAAGTTTAACAATTAAAAAGAATGAGGAAGAATTAAACTCCCAATCAAGATGAACTCATCTTCCTCCTGCACTGTACTCTGTTTCGCGGCTTCCCTCCGTATTTTTTCTTCTTCTCGTATGTTTAGGGGTTTTTAATATACCCTCTAATCTCTCCAATTTTCTGGGATTTGGAAGGAAAAATCCTTAATTAGGATAAGGATCCCCTTGCTTTTAGATAGGATAAGTGGTTATTTTTTTGATGATGAAGATGAAGATGAAGGTTGCTGGACTTCGGTTTTCATGGAAGAGCTGCTACTTCCTCTTTATCTTGGTTTGCTTCTTCCTTGTTTTAGTGGTCTTTGTTGCTAAGTCTTTTTATTTGATGACTTCCTTCTTATCTTTCACGTGCTTTTCTTTATTTCCTTTTTCTTGTCTTCCTACAAAAACACACATAAAAATAATATTAAGTATTAATTGTAAAAAATAGCTATAAAATAAAAATACTCTTTAAAAATAAAATCTAAAATGACTACAGTAAATAAATTCATAAAAAAACTATTATAAGGTCGTTATAAGACTAATATTAGGAATAAAATGTGATATATTACGCACTTATCAATGGTTTATTAAGTAATTATGGGAAAGAATAAGGTTTTTAGTAAATCTTTAAGTTGCTTTGAAATTTTTTTGTATTGATGGTAGCCACGTAAATTCATGCTAAGGATTCTAAATTACTTAAGTCAAATTACTAAGTGTAGATAGATCTTGCCTGTAACACTCTAGAAATTTTCTTCCTTTAAAATACCTATTTTGTCATTTTTAAATACGAAATAGGAAATAATTAAGGCATTACTGCTACCGTGATAACGGCTAAGGCATTTATCAAAGACATACATCGGAAGACATTTTCAAAACCTTTTCAAATTAGAAAAAAGTCCAATATTCAAACCAAACAAAAGTAAAGTAAAACCAAAGTAAAACGAAGTCAAATCTACAACTTGAAGCCATTATAGGCCCTTTCAAAATCAAGCGAGTATTTAAAACCAATGCGTTAGTGTCATCAATTAATTAATAAATATTCAAAGCAAATAAATCATTCATATTCTACTAGAACCTAGAACAAGATTCGCTTTTTGCTCAATCCCAAACATGAACATGCTGCAACACCTGAAAAACTTTTCTTTAAACTGTTCCTACTACTCGCCATAAGATATGGGTCATCGTAGGGCCAAGATAAAGACAAAGCCAACATAAACACAAAACTCAACAATTAGTAATGCCGAGTAGATAAGCGTAAACAAAACACACTAACATGATAGCATCCTAGCAATAACAATAAAACTTACCTTTCCTCATAGTTCAACATACAACAATAGACAAAACATGGACACATTACTTTATTTATTTTGATTACGCATCGAACATGTTTCCAACCAAATCCCTGCCCTAACGAATTGGGGTAAATTACTCCTGGAGCTATCCGGGTAGGCACCAATGTCACATGAAAGTGACGGACGTCCCTGCGCATAATAATAATAAAAGGAAAGTACAACGTCCTGTACTCCCAATAGAAGCTATGGTTAAATATAAAACACCATAATTCTCCCCATATGTTCATATTCAAGCTATATACGTTCCAAGAGTTTTGGTGCGTAACTTCTTTCACTCTACGTTAATTACATTTTAGACTTGGTGATGACTCTCAATCAATAAAACAATCAATAAAAACAATCAATCAACATGAATCACTCAAGCAATCAAACATTCCAATTTAAATCTTGAATAATTAGTGACCACATCTAATTTAATGTTGAACCCTTTTTAAAACTACCTCACTGTAGAAACACCTTAAGCGCATAAAGCACCGCAAATCCTATCCCTCGGTGTATAAAAACCATAAGTGTACGTAGGCACAACAATATAAATTATCCTTGTGTGCTAAGACACTTATGTAGCTTAATTCCCATGCTTAAATGCATCAATAAAGCATAATAAAATTCCCTTTCAATATTCCAAACTCAATTAAATATTTAGTTCAATTAACCACGCTCTTAATCATGCCAATAATAAAAGTGTGGTCCATATACAATATTCGAACATCACCAATTCCAACAATAATTCATTCTAAATAATCATGCCTCACAAACCAATACCAATCCAATTCAATTCCACAAAACCAATTCAATCCAACAATTCCAACCAATTCCTAGCATGATACTAATTTCTTAGAAATAATCAAAATAAATCCTAGCATGATTCTACACGCTTAATAAATTCCGAGTACGCGTATGTACCTCGAATAAGCTCTTAAAGTAGTCGTACAAAGTAGAACAAAGTCTCCTACATAGACGAGGGACAATAAAAAATACATTCATTACCCTTGTATACACAATTTCCAGCAACTTAAACTTACTTTTAATCATTCTAAATAAACTAAAAATTATTTTAAAACCCTTAAATAATCTCCCTTATAATGGTTAATTAAAAACCCCTTTTCAAAACTCTATAGGTAGCACTAAGAACAAATTTCTAGCATTTTAAACTAATCAAAACCTCTTAAACCTTCATTAAAAACGTACTTTTATACTCAATTATTAGTTATAATCAATGATTACAAAAAATCCCCAAATTAGTTTATAAAAGATCCCTAAACATCATGTCTTGAATAAATTAAAACCATCACTTTATAATCTTTAAAAATCTGAAAATTAACCCATGCTAAAATCTAAAATTATACTTTTTAATTCATTAAAACATGACTTTGATACTAATTAAATATATTTTGAACATTTAAAAATCAAAACCCCATAAATACATTATCAAAATAATTAAAATAAAAGAGGAGAGATAAGGAGGGTCATGCATGGTGGCTGATCGGCTGGTGGTGGCCGCCCATGGTCGCCGGCGTCGTGGTCTGGCTGCCGGTGGCGGGTTCGATGGGTGGGGCCGTGAGGAAGCATGGGCATCAAGTTTTCCTTGTGAGAACCTCACGTGAAGGGCAAGGAAAAAGAACCAAAAAGAAAAGAAAGAAAATTAAGAAAAGAAGGAAAGAAAAAGAAAAGGAAAAGAAAGAAAAAGGGAAAATAAAAAAAAATAATATACTTGGACCATTTGAATTTTGTGTGGGAGAAGATTTTGGGGATTGAAGAGGTATTTATAGAGTGAGGTAGATTAGAGATATTTGGGTCTCATAAGAGATAATATGAGTGAAAAATAATTGGCCCAAATAAATAAAAAGGATGATTGGGCTTAATATGGACACAAGGTATAATTTGGTTGAGTAAGTCTTGATCAAATATGTAACTCATTTTATTTAAAATCCATAACTAAAATATTTTGTCCCAAAAATATATATTATAAGTAATTAAATAATTTGAAAAATAGAAGAACCAACCTGACAGACACATCTTTTTCCCTTTTTGGGGATAAAAATAAAGGGGTATAACATTGCCCCTTGAGTGGTTTGAATAAGGCCTTGTTTTTTTAATCTTCAGAATAATACAGAGCAGATTTCAGTGTAGCAGAGCAGCTCAAAAGAAAAGGGCCTAATCAGGTTAAGTTTGTTTGAATTGGTAAAGTACGTATTTGAAATTGATATTTTGTGTGGATTTTGATAAATCGTATCTTCATTGTTTATTGATACTTTGATATGAATTGCAATAAAAAATTGAGTTATTATCTACTTCATATTTAGGATGCTTAATAAAGGGTCAAGGTAGATTTTAAAATGCCTAATTCCCTCCCAAGTTCTCTGTTATTTCATCTGTTTCTTAATAATCACAACACTAGACGAAATAGTTAAAGTGGTAGTGCTATTTATATATTTTTTTTCCTATTTGTGGTAGTTATTCAAAAAAAAATATTTTAATTGGTAATTGTTTGCAAAACAGGTACTTTAAGTGATAGTTCTTGGCAAAAATTCCAGTCTTAAACTTTCTTTAATGTTTTGCTATTTTAGTTTTGATGCAGGTGCATGGAACTTGGTGATGGAAGTTGAAGAAGTGCCACGTGTTGTGACACTTAGCCGTGCCAAATCCTTGGTGGTCACCTCTCGGGGTTGACCATTATCAAAATCGAGTAATCTTTTGTTTTCTTTGAATAACTTTAAGGATCCTTGCGTTAGCCAAGAGAGGAAACATGTCAGTTTTTCACAAATTCAATCAGTCATATCTTCTTTATTATAAGGAATTTTCGAGTGATTCAAATTGGAAATGAAATTAGAGTCAGAAAGTTTTCCAATAATTGGTCATATGCCTAATTTGAGTAAGAAATGAAGAAGTTATGAATGTTTGAATATTAGCTGTTTAGCCTGTCACGAAGAGCGCCCGCTCTCGTGGTCGTCAGTTCAAGTTTGGCAGAAGTGAGGAGCGCCCGGTGCTACCCTCTAGAGCAGCCGGTCTAGCCCTAATGTTTTAAGTAGACGACTTTGTCTGTTTTATACTTATATTTGCTAATTTTAGTCTTGGCCTTTCATTAGTTATCAAAGGGTGTAATATTAAGACTCTAGGTTTGTTTGTAAAGCCTTTAAATAGGGCTAAGCTTGCTTTTGGGAACATCTTTTGCCTAATTTTGAAATCAATGATATTTTCTTTCTCTTTAATCTTGGTGAATATTTGAGATCTTTGTGATTGCTATTTTTTAATCTTTGTGGTTACACCTTAATCATAGCTTTACTTGGTATTAGCTTTGATTAACAACCCCTATTTCATAGAACTTGGTGATTTTTGAGATATGTTTATTTTGTGTTGTTGCAATAGAATTGTTATTAGTTGATATTCCTCTCTTTTCTTGATTATTTTATATCTATTTGGTATTAGAGCCTAGGTTATTAGACTAGAAAGATCCTACCTTTTTTAATCTCCCTTTCCCCTCTCAAAAGATCTCATATTTGTTCCCACAAAATTTGAACTTTTGTCTCTCAAAAATACAAACTTTCCATCTTGAAACATGGATAATAAATACTTTTATGAAGATGAAGAAAGTTACCATGATCACTCTAGATTGGATGCTCTAGAAAGAAAGTTGAATAGGCTTCATGAAGTCTTAGAGAATAGAAGAAGCCCTAGAAGAAGGAGAAGTCTAAGTGGAGAAGATGGTTCTCACTCTCCTCACTGGATAAGGGAACACCCACCAACTACACCATGAGGAAAACCGTGACCGAGACATCAAGTTGGAATTTTTGAATTTTAAAGGTAATCTTGATCCTAATGAATTTGTTCATTAAGGTTAGAAGTATGGAGAATATATTTGAGTATAAGAGTTATAATGATGAAAAACTTTGCAAATTGGTCATTCTTCAACTTAAAAAACATGCCTCTTTGTGGTATGAGAATTTAAAGAATCGTAAGAGGAAATTAAGATGGAAAATCAAATATCACTTCTTGGGAGAAATTGAAGAAACATATGAATAAGGTTTTTGTGCTTAGAGATTATGTCGGTAGAGAAGTATACTAGGGAGTTTGAAAAACTCTCTATTTTGAGTGGAATTAAAAAGGCCCGGAAGCATAAGATTACTAGGTACATTGGTGGTCTTGAGAGGAAACTTGGGCTAAAGGTTGATGTTCATGCCCATGCAAGTTTTAATCATTTGATGCAAAAGACTTTTAAGTTTGAGAAGCATGACAAGATGAGTAGTGCTACTAGGTACCGTAAACCTACTTTCAAGAATCCTTTTGCTCCAAATTAAAGGGTGAGATAAGCAAGCCCATTGTCAAGGATGACAAAGGAAAGAATCCCATGCATTTTTCTAGCAAGGATGGCCAAAGAAAAATCAAGAAAGTTTGCTACAATTGTAGAGGCTATGAAAATTTTGCTAATGAGTGTCCTAATAGTAGAGCTATTTGATTCGTGAAATGGATGATGATGAATATGAAGAAGAGAAGAGGGATTTTGAGGACCCTATATATGACGAGGAGAAGATGAAATGGATGATGATGATATGAAGATGAGAAGATGAGAAGGGTTGTAGTAGAAGCCGATGAGGGTCAAATCCTTGTTGTTAGAAGAACACTTCACTCCATTTCCACTCATTTGGCGTAAGAGCAAAGGTAGAACATTTTTTAAACTCGTTGCACTATCAAAGATCGAGTTTGCAATCTTATCATTGATAATGGCTCTTGCACTAATGTGGCTTCAACAACACTAGTGAGCAAGCTCAATCTTGACACTATCGATCATCCTACTACCTATAAGTTTCAATGGCTTAACAATCACAATGAGGGGAAGGTAACAAAACAAACTCTTCCACAACAAGAATTGAGCCTAATATCGATGGCCAAAATCCATCAGTAAAAATTATAAAAAACCATCGTTATCACATTAATCGATGGCTGCCATCGGTAATTGGTCAACGGAGATCAATTCGTCGAAAAAAATCGAAAATACTGATGTATTGGCCATCGGTAAACGTGATATCGACGGTTTTACTGATGGCCTAAAACCATCGTCTGTTACCTTCCCATTTTTCATCTTCTTAAGGTTTAAATGGTCAAATTCGACCATAAATACTCCTGATCAGGAGTTTTTTTTGGTCAAATTTGGGCAAAAAAAACGCAACACTGCCGGTTGCAACACCAATGCCGAGAGATAGACAAGAGGTCGAGAGAAAGAGAGGAAAAATTGAGAAACTGAGAACAACGGAGGAGAGGGAGTAGATCTGAAATAAAACCAAAGGAAATAGAGGAGAAAGAGAAGAGGAGAGAGAAAGAAGGAGATAGGCGTGAGAGGAAGAGAAGATAGAAGCATGAGAGGAAGAGAGAACAAGAAGAGGAGAGACACGTGAGAGGAGGAGCGAGAAAGAGAGAACAAGGGGGGATGGGTGATGGGTGATGGGGGTGGGTAGGGTTTCATCCGATATTTTTTTTTAAAATTTTTGTAAAAAGTTTACCTATAGTTTAAAGACATTGGTATATATTTTTTGCCGATGGCTAATAGCCATTGGTAAAAAAATCATAGTTTTTTTTTTTTCTTTTTTTTTTACCGATGGACAAAAGCCATCGGAAAATAAATACCGATAGCCTAACCATCGTTATTTCTAAAATTTTAGATGGCTTTACAAAACCATTGGTAAATTTTATTTTTATTAATGGCCAAGCCATCAGTATTTCCAATCGGTAAATGCACGTATTCTTGTAGTGTTCTTTCTTTTTCAATTGGCAAATTATATAAGGATGAGGTGCTTTATGATGTGTTGCCTATGGATGCTTGTCATGTTTTACTTGGAAGGCCTTGGCAATTTGATAGAAATGTATTTCATGATAGAAGAAAAACACTTATTAACTCACGATGGATAAGAAGAAGATTGTACCCCTTGTCCCCCACAATTAAACACAAAGAACCATTGGGTATAGGAAACACAATCATAAAGAACCTTCTCATTGAGAAAATGAGATAGGAAAGGAGATAAATCAAGGGAAAATTGTTTTTGTTTGTCTTCTTAGGAAAACACAAAAGAGTGAGCGAGAGAACCAAATCCACTTTCTTGTCAAGGAAGTGTTGGTTAAGTACCAAAATGATTTCCCTGATGATCTCCCACCCACTTTTCCACTTATTAGGGGAATTGAGCATCAAAATGATCTCATTCCGGGGTCACAACTCCCTAATGGACCGGCTTATAGATGTACCCCAATGAGGCAAGAGAAATTCAAAGACAAGTTGATGAGTTGATGGAAAGATGATTTGTGAGGGAATCCCTGAGCCCTTGTTCGATTCCAGCTCTTTTGGTTCCAAAAAATGATGGTACATGGAGGATGTGTGTGGATAGTAGGACCATTAATAATATTACCATCAAGTATCAATTTCCTATTCTTGACTTGATGATATGCTTGATGAATTGCATGGTTCCAAGGTGTTTTCAAGGACTGACTTGAGAATGGGGTACCACCAAATTTGCGTGAAGGAGATGAATGGAAAACCTCTTTTAAGACAAAGAAAGGCTTGTATGAGTGACTTGTAATGTCATTTGGGCTCTCTAATGCTCCTAGCACTTTCATGAGGCTCATGAATGAGGTACTTTGCCCTTTTTTGGTAGATTTGTTGTTTATTTTGATGATATACCTGTTTATAGCAAACGTGAACTTGATCATATTGAACATTTGAAGCAAGTATTTGAAACATTGAGAAGTAAGATGATTTTTGCCAAGTTAGAAAATGTACTTTTATGATGGATAGTGTTGTTTTCCTTGGCTATGTGATTTCTAATGTAGGGATCTTAATAGACCATAGCAATGGAAGCCATTTAATCTTGGCTTACTCCTATCTTTCTCACCCAAGTTTGGAGTTTCCAAGGCCTAGCTTCTTTCTATCAAGGATTTGTGAAAAATTTAAGCACCATTTTGACTTCGGTCACCGAATGCATGAAGAAGGGAACTTTTAAGTGGAAACCATTGACTCAAAAGGCTTTTAATACTCTTAAGAAGAAGTTGTGTGAGGCTCCAATCTTGGCTCTTCCAAATTTTGATCAACCCTTTGTGTTTGAATGTGATGCTAGTGGATTTGGAGTTGGGGCGATACTTGTTCAAGGAGAGAGGCCGGTTGCTTATTTTAGTAAGAAGCTTGGTGGGGCAAGAACAAAGTATAGTACCTATGACAAGGAGTTCTATGCAATTGTGAGGGCTCTTAGTCATTGGTCACATTACTTGAGGCCTAGACCTTTTGTACTACATTCCGATCATGAATCTCTTAAGTACATCAATGGTTCTCGTAAAATCAATGTAAGACATGCCAAAATGGATTAAATTTCTCCAATCTTTCACTTTCTCTTCTATGTACAAAGAAGGGAAGAGCAATGTTGTGAACGATGCTCTTTCTAGGAGGCATTGTATGATCACTATTATTGAACCAAAGTTTTTAGGGTTTGAGTTGCTCAAAGAGTTGTATATAGTGATGGTGAGGATTTTGGTTAGTTGATGAAGCAGTGTGATGATGGGATCAATGGTTCTTTCATGATGCAAGAAGGTTTCCTTTTCAAGGGAAACAAGCTTTGCATTCTCAAATTTTCTTATCGAAAGTTACTTGTGAAAGAAGCTCATTAAGGAGGACTAGCCGAAAACTTTAGAGTTGTACAAACATATGATATCCTTCGCGAACTGTTTTATTGGCCTAAAATATTAAGTGATGTGAAAGATGTAATAGCTCGTTGTGGGGCTTGTCATAAGGTTAAGAGTCCATTCCATGAGGGACTCTACTCTCCTTTTCAGGTTCCTAGATAGTCACCCATGGACGGGATGATTTTAGTATGGTTGCTCTCCCTCGCACTCCAAAGCAAAACGATTCTGTGTTTTTTGCGGTGGATCGTTTTAGCAAGATGGCTCATTTCATTCCTTGTCACAAACCGATGATGCTTCTCATATGACTACCTTGTTCTTTAGAGAAGTGGTGAAGCTTCATGGTATTCCAAGGAGCATTTTTTCGGATTGGGATCCTAAGTTGTTGAGCTACTTTTGGAAGACCTTGTGGAAGTTTCCAGGAACCAAGCTCTTGTTTAGTACTCCTAGTTAGCCTTAAACCGATGGACAAACGAAGGTGACTAATCGTACCATGTCCACTGTTCTCCGAGCTATCATTAGCAAACACATGAAAGATTGGGATGTTAAACTACCTCAAGCTGAATTTGCTTGTAAGTGCTCTCATTGCATTGTTACCGAGAAAAACACCTTTTGAAGTAGTGTATGGCTTCAATCCCCGCTTACCACTCGACTTGTTTCCTAATATTCCTCAAAAGGAGTTGAGTTTTGAGGCAAAAGATAGAATTGAAATGATGAAAAAGCTTCATGAAAATTGAAAATGTCAAGAAGAGGATTGAGAAAGCAAATGAGAGTTAGTACAAAACTAACCTCAAGTAACACCCAAAAAGTGTTACATAAAATGCTAAAAGTTTATGATAGACAATAGGTAACACTTTATTGGGTGATACTTCAGCCCATGTTACCTAAGGTCTTATGTAACACTTTGAATAACGTATAGTAACACTTTTAAAAGTATTACCATAAACCCTCTTATGTAACACTTTTTATATTATTTGTATCATTTTTAAAGTGTTACTATTTATTTTTTATGTAACACTTACTTATCTTTGGTAACATTTTTCAATCACATAGTAACACTTAATCTGACTGTGTATCACTTTTGCGAACTAATGTATCACCTTGTCGATAATTAGGTAACATTTTTTAATTATCTTTTGACATATAATAACACTTTATTTGACATTATGTATCACTTTCTGCAAATCAATGTAACACCTTGTCAATTAATAAGTAACATTTATTAATATTTTATTTATTGTTTTTTTAATCATTGTTATTACAAATACTACAATGATTATTTAAAATATGGAACTTTTTTATTTTTGTAAATATAAAATAATATTAACAGGTACAACAGCCACAAATGTAAAATTAACATATACAATAGACAATAATTTCAATTGATATAATTTCATAGTTACTTACAAAAAACATCCATAAACACCAAATTGTTTGTTTGGCTAAACAATCTAATAATGAAAACAAAAAGAAACTCAACTTCAGTCTCTAGATCAGACCACCAAATTCCAAAACAGAAAAGGCAAAATAAGTAAGCGCAATAGCAAACAGACAGCAGTAACAGCAGCTTATAATAGCGCCCATATAGTAGCAGCTAGAAAATAGCAGAAGACAGCAGTACTAGGCCAGCAGACATCAGCAGCAGAAGACGACAGTGACATTAGCCGGCAGCAGTAACAAGGCTGTAGAAATAGAAACCAACAATAGTCAATATCAAAATTCTACCTTTATTGAAATAAAAGGAAGAGAACTCCCGTCAAAAAAAAAAAAAAAAAAGGGAAGACATCAAGGCTAATCTATCTCAAATGAAATAAAAGCGGTTCATAGCACGTTATATCTCATCTAAAATAATTCAGGTCCACTACTCCCACAGAAAGACAATAAATATTAAAAAAAAAAAAAAAAAAAAAAAAAAAAAAAAAAAAAAAAAAAAGCAAACTTAGGAGTTCTGATCCATGAATGGCAGATCAGATTGTAAATTCTCTCTTGCCTTTTATTACTTAAGTTTCTTGAAGGAATGACCAAGGTTTGGGGTCTTGAAGAACTTTATATAGTTATGGACAGAATTAGCAATTCTTGATATTAGATATACTCTTTAAGAAAACCAATTACACAGCCCGAGTTATTAGGTGAGTGAGGAGTGACAGCGTGAATCAACAGCAGATTCAGGTAAGAAACAAGAAAAATGGCAGCAACATCTGCTATAGTAGTACTAAATAGGTTTACCTCGCCTTTCTTGTTGGGTGGGAAGAAGAGTAGTCAGTCATTCGATTGCAGCTAGCAGGTGGTTGTGGCTGCTGCAGCTGCTCCTAAGAAGTCTTGGATTCCTGCTGTTAAATGGGTTTATGTCTCACTTTATATAATTGTATTCTCCCCATTGGAACAAGTAAGTTGGACAAATATAAAACATATTACACTCAAAACAGATTGCTAGATTTTAGTTTGGTAATTGAGAAGTAACAAGTAATATGGGACATTACCATACTCAAGTGCACCTAGCTAAAGCCTAATAACACACGTGGCTTCTCCTCGTCCATAACTTCTTTAAACTTTAGAGATGGGAGTTACTAAACCTAGGCTAGATTTGACCCAAATCAAGAAATTTGTAAGGTCATGTGGTTGTGAGTAATGGAATCTAGAAAGTATACATAAGCCTACAACGTCAAACCTTCCACATCTATCTTGATCATGTTGGGTCATATTGCATTACAGCCCTAGGGGATATAAATTGAGTACCATATACCAAGAGCAATGCAAGTTCATTTGTCTACATAACATTTCAGGCCATTAAGATCTTATAGTGCAAAAAACAGAAGCTCAAAGAAATTGATCAGTCAACAGTTCAAATTAAAAGAAAGCAAATACCTGCCCATGTGCAATAATCAATAAAACATGGTATTGTCCTCCACTCTCCTCAACAATTCTCATGGCCATCTCAATTACAAGAGCAAACGATGTAGGTCCTGCCACATCGAGAGATAGATAGGGAGCCATTGAATTATCATGAAAATCTAACAATAAAAGAAAAAGGAGCCAATATAACAGAAATACTATGAGAGTGAGGCGATGGACAACATCATATTAAATGATAAAACCGCAAGTCGTAAATGGGGAACAATTTTCCTGTACTAGGATAAGACTTCCTGAAATCCATTACAACCTCTTTCATCTGAGTAGAAACTAAAGATATCTTGATCATGTGTTGTTGCTGTGAAAACATGATGCACTTTGTTGATTAACAAAACAAGGAACACTTAAGACCAGAGCTCAATATTGCAGCACCAGAAACATCACAACTTAGAGAGAATATAGCAAAAGATTGCAGCACCAGAAACATCACGACTTGCACAAAAGCTTAATAGTAAACTTTCTTGAACCTTTTACATAATCATCCTAACTAGAGCTTAATAATAAACTGAACCTATAAATAATGCATCATCCTAACTGTCAAGTTAAAAGAACAATCTACCTAAATTATCATCAGTCAAGTATAGCATTACTTTTTAAGAGTAGGGACAAAAGTAAGGTGAGGGAAGGTATACAACTGCATCCTAACAACAATAATTATATTATACCCAACTAACAACAGTTTTCCAACTTAAATTTCAAGAGGAGGATAAGCATAATGCAGAGAGAGCAGGATAATGGTGAGAGAAGAGAGAAACAGAGTAGGATAACCGGTTTGTACATAATTAACTGATTATGCATGTATGAGAAAGAGATAAACAGAGTATCACCGAGTTTTCTGACTGAAGTGAACTTAAAGCTAAACTCATGGGACACATAAAATCCCAAAAAAAATCAAGCAAAATCCAGAAAAAATGGGGTAATTACGGAAAATTAGCCAAATCATCATTTTAACCCCACAAAATTAAAGCCTGGAAAATGTGGCAACTGATGCAATCATCACAAATTTCTTACAAAAGTAACAATTAATTAGATTAAGTATCGGAATAATGAAAAATAAAAACCCAATTCCATAACTAGAGCTTAATATAATTAAAATAAAAAATAAAAAAACAAACCTTGCCAGGAGTGGTGGTTTTGGCAGTAGCAGGAATAGTAGCAGTAGCTTGAATATCAAACACCATTCCTCTGATTATAACTGGCATTGCCTTAATTTCTACATCTCTTTTGCCCACAATTACTTAAATTCTCGACAAGCTTATCAGCTTATGAGGAATCAATTCAGAAAAGAAAATAATTAAATTAAAATTAGTCAGATTAGTCAACAAAGATCAAATTACAAAGTAAATCAAATCAGCAATTATCAAAAAGAAGAAAAAACAGTGAAATTAAACATGTTAATAGGCAAATTCAACATCAAATTAAGAAATCATCAACAAGATTAGAGAGAGGGAATTGAAACCCTAAATTTAGCTAACTCTAATTCTTGTTGATAATGGAAGGGAAAGGGAACGAAACTAACCCTAACCCAAACTTTAAGGTTGAAGCCGCCGAAGATGGAACCCAGGATGTGCCGCGCCAATCGCTGTCTTTGGAGGTGGCAATCACCGCTGTCTCTTCAACTAGGAGCACTGGTTGCATAAGTCTTCGAATTGGAGCACGGGTTGCGATGGAGGTAAGCTGCGGTGAACGGGGGCTACAGTGGAGCACCGGGAGCGAGAAGGGGGTAGCGGTGGAAAGGAGGTGCCGAGGTGCAATTTCAAGAGAAAGTGAAAGCTTTATGGAGAAACCGAGAAATACGTGGAAGGAAGAGAGTTGTGAGGCTGTGAGTTTTTTTTAAAGTGTTATCTATTATCAAAGTGTTACAAAAAATGTTACCTAATACCACAGTGTTACAAAAGTGTTACTTAAAAATCAAACAATCATGAAATTTATAAAGTGTTACTAATGGATGTTACTTAAGCCCAACTTTGTAGTAGTAGCAAACAAATTCAAGAAGCCAAGGGAATTTAATGTAGGCTCCATCTTCGTAAGGAAAAATTTCCGGCTAAGAGAAAAAACAAGCTCATGCTAAGATCTGAAGGCCCCTTTGAAGTTGTGGAGAGGGTTGGACCTAATGCGTACAAGCTCAAACTTTTGGGAGGCTTTGGAGTTTATTCTACCTTTAATGTTGGTGATCTTGCTCCTTTTCTTTTTGAGGAATATGTTGGTGATAATGATCCGAAATTAAGGGCAATTTCTTTTGAAGAGGATGGGTTTGATGCGGGTGCATGGAACTTGGTGGAGGAAGTTGAAGAAGTGCCATGAGTTGTGACACGTAGTCGTGCTAAACTCCTTGGTGGTCACCTCTCGGGGTTAACCACCATCAAATTCGAGTAACCTTTTGTTTGCTTAGAATAAAGCTTCAAGGATTTCATGTGTTAGCCATGAGAGAAAACTGACCAATTATTCAAATTCAACCAACCATATCTTCTTGTTTTATTACAAGAAATTTTCTGTTGATTCAAATTGGAGATGAAAGTAGAGTATGAGAGCTTTGCAAAATAAGGATAGGTCATATGCCTAATTTGAGCAAAAAAACGAAGAAGTTATAAATGTTTGAATTTGAGCTATCCAGCCAGTCACGAGGAGCGCCCCCTTTTGTGGTCTTCAGTTCAAGTTATTTTTGCTAGTTTTAGTCTTGACCTTTCATTTGTAATTGGAGTGTCACTTGGCCTCCGCTGCAATCGGAGTTGTGTCCCAGCCAGTCCGTGAACTCATCTCCAACCCTTCTTTCAACTCAGAAGCTATCCAAGTGGTTGTACCTAAGGTGCTAGGTGGGGATACTCGGGTAAATTGAATGCGAAGGGAGCTGCTCTGAGTTTCGTGGTGCCGTTGATAAAAGAAGGTAAGCCCATTGCTATATTACCTACTGAAGAAATTGCTAAGAATACTAAAAAATGGAGTAATGCTGCTGTGTTGTATGTTGTTGGGTTTTCTCCTTTAATTGCTGCTATTCATAGATTTATTGCTGAACAATGGAACAGGATTGCTAAGCCTGAAGTTTATTGGCATGATGATGGCTACTTTATTGTCAATTTCTGCTCACATGTTGATTTAAATTCTGTTTTGTGTAATGGACCGGATATGTACAATGGTAAACCGATTATTGTGAAACAGTGGTCAGACAAGTTTTATTTTAGTGCTGAGGTTTTACGTAACGTTCCTTTATGGGTTAGATTGTCTAATTTTCCATTAAATTGCTGGGGGACGGAGACTTTGAGTAAGATAGGGAGTCTGCTAGGGGTTCCGATTTGTGCTGATGAGTGTACAACTAGGAAGTTGAGGGTTTCTTTTGCCCGATTGCTTATGGAAATTGATGTTACAAAGTCGTTGCCTAAATCTGTTTGGGTTGAAAGCTTGGGAGGTGAGCTAGTGGAGCTAACAGTTGAATACAATTGGATACCCCCTTTCTGTGAGAAATGTAAGAAGGTTGGGCATGCTTGTGTTGGACAGCAAGATAAGCCTATGTCGTATGCCCAGCAAGTGATGAAGAAGCCTCAGCCTTTACAACAGAATACTCGAGTTTTGAATGTGGCAGTCGTTACTTCTCAGGCTATCAACAAGCCAGCAAATCTTGACGAATGGCAATTGGTGAAAAACAAACGAAAGGGTGTGGCTGTCTCTCAAAATGTTACTAGCAACACTAATCAGTTTTCCGTTTTATCTGAGTCGGTCAGTGGTGATCAGGGGGTTCAAGCAAGCAAGCAAAGATCCAAGCGGGGGTGGGCCCCCTTGGATGCAATGATTGTTGTTACCTGGAATATGAGGGGTCTAAATGACCCTAGCAAGGTAGCTGATGTTAAGCAACTACTTTTAGGAACAAAGAGTGATTATATTTTCTTGCTTGAGACAAAAGTTAAAGTGAAGAAATGTGAGGCTATTCAAAAGAAATTTGTTGGGTTTACTTGGATTGCCAATTATACTGCTTCTACTAGAGGCAGGATATGGGTAGGGTGGAAAAATGACAGACTTCATGTTGATGTGCTAGCTGTCCATGAACATTTTATACATTACCTTATTAGTACTAAGGATTTGCAAACCCAAATTGCTTATACCTTTGTCTATGGCCTCCATTCTGTCCATGATAGGAAAAGGATGTGGGCTGTTATTCAGAGTCTAGGGGTCATCCCTATTCCTTGGTTATGTGCTGGAGACTTCAATGCTATTCTTGATGATGAAGATAAAATTAATGGAAATCCCATCTCTGCATACGAGACTAAGGATTTCCAAAAGTTCATTGGGAACATGGAGCTTGTAGAGATTAAGAGTAAGGGCTCCTACTACTCTTGGTCTAATAAGGCTCGTAATGGGCCTCGTGTGTACTCTCGGATTGATAGGGGGCTTATAAATGCTGCTTGGTTAACTCAGTATCGAAATGTTGAAGCCATTTATCTTGCACCTTCTCTGTCAGATCATACTCCAGTGCTTTATGAGGTTTTTCCTTCTTCCACCGGCAAAGGTAAACCCTTTAAATTTCTCAATTGTCTGCTTTCTCATGTGGACTTTCAGATTACGATTGAGGATGCTTGGAGGAAGGAAGCTAGTGGTGGTGCGATGCTCAGATGGAATAAGCTTAAAACTATCAAAGAGAAACTCAAAAGATAAGCTCCAAGTCCTTTAGTAATGTTCAGCTTCAGATTAACAAAGCTTCTGATGAGTTGGTTGATGTTCAGAATAGGCTGATGGAGTCTCCTGATGATGCTAATTTGATTGAGCTGGAAGCTTCTATTCAGCAACTACAGTATTTGAGGAATGTGCAGGAGAGTATCTATAAGCAGAAGTCTAGGGTGGACTGGGTGCATCTTGGTGATTCAAACTCCAAGTATTTCTTATCAATGATGAAGCATAGGCAGGCAATAAACAGAATTGATTCTATTTTCACTGAGCAGCAACAACTTCTAAGGAAACCAGATTATATTGAGCAGGAAATTGTCAGATTTTATAAAGCCTTGATGGGAACTAGGTCTCCTTCTCTGCTGGGTGTTGACCTTGCTATTGTTAGGGCCGGGAAACAGTTGTCAGTGGCTGCCTCGAATTTTCTGGTTGCTCCTATTACTGATATTGAAATTGACTGTGCAATAAAAGGTATTTCTGAAGACAAAGCTCTAGGTATTGATGGATTCAATTCCATATTCTATAATCATACATGGGCTATTGTTAAATCTGATATCAAGGAAGTTGTTCATGCTTTCTTTGCTTCTTCGATTATGCCTAAACAATGGAATTGCACTATTCTCACCTTGGTTCCTAAGGTTAAAAACCCTTCTTATGCCAAAGATTTTAGACCTATTGCCTGTTGTACTGTGTTGTATAAAATAGTGTCTAAAATCCTCACCGCTAGATTGGCTTCTGTAATTGGTGAAGTTGTTGATTCTGCTCAAGCTGGGTTTATCCTAGGGAAGCATATAAAAGATAACATTCTGCTTGCTACTGAGTTCATTAAGGGGCATACCCACAAGCACATCACCCCTAGATGCATGATCAAAGTTGATTTAAAGAAGGCTTATGACTCCATTGAGTGGAGTTATTTAGAGACTATTTTGATTGAATTGGGGTTCCCTAGGCTCTTTAATTTGTTGGATGGGTTATGGCTTGCATCTTTTTTGTTTCCTTCTTAATTTTGATAAATGGTGTTCCTACCTTTCCTTTCCCTTCTAAAAAGGGATTACGCCAAGGAGATCCAATATCCCCCTTCCTCTTTGCTATTGGTATGGAGTACCTGTCTAGATGTCTACATGAGGTGACTTCCGATCCTAATTTCAATTTTCACCCCCAGTGTGAAAAATTAGCTCTTACGCAATTAATGTTTGCTGATGATCTATTAATGTTCTCTAGAGTTGATTATGTTTCTATTGAGCTTCTGTTTCAAGCCTTTAGGAAATTTTCTAGGGCTTCTGGTCTAACTGTTAATCTTGATAAAAGTGAGTTTTTTTGCTAGGGGTATCAGTTCTGATGAGCAGGAAGCTATTTAGCAGGTTCTTGGTATGGATACTGGCACTATTCCTTTTAAATATCTTAAAGTTCCTTTTTCCTCCAAGAAGCTTACTATCTGCCAATGCAGGCCTCTAGTTTAGAAAGTGACTAGTAGAATTGATAGCTGGGTTGTCAAGCATTTGTCTTATGCTGGTAGGCTTCAGCTTATTAAAAGTGTGCTATTTGGCATTCAAACATACTAGTCTTAGATTTTTGTGTTGCCCAAAAGATTTTGAAAGAAATTGAAGGCAGATTCAAAGCTTTCCTTTGGACCGGTTCCTCTAATCCCACTAAGAAAGCCTTGGTATCATGGGCAAATATTTGTCTCCCTAAGGTGTGTGGAGGGTGGAATGTGACTTCTTTAGTTGAGTGGAATTTAGCAGCAATTTGCAAAATCTTGTGGGATATCAACCACAAACCTGATTCCTTGTGGGTGAAGTGGATCCATGTCTACAATTTGAAAAACAAGGATGTGTGGTCGGCTGCCATTCCTCAGAAATGCACATGGGTTTTAAAGAAGATCTTGAAAAGCAGGGTGATTATCGATGATATTGGAGGATGGGGTCCTGTGCAAAAAGGAAGCATACTGTAGATAAGGAAGGTTTATGATTAGTTAAGAGTTCAGGCCCCTAAAGTCCCTTGAAAGAAGGTCATTTGCAATAACAAGGCTTCACCTAAAAGCATTTTCATTCTTTGGCTGGCTTGTTGGAACAGGCTACTAACAAAAGATAGACTCCTTACTTGGCATGTGAATTGTGATCCGTTATGTCTCTTTTGTCTGCAAGAGCACGAAAATGTGCAACACCTTTTCTTTCAATGTCAGTATTATAGGAGACTTTGGCAAAAGGCCCTTGATTTGCTTGGATGTAAAAAATTGGTTCAGGGCTTCAGTTAAGAAATTGATTGGGCGACTAAACATCTTAGGAAAACTTCTCCTACTAGCTGGTTGCACCTTATGTTGCTTACTGAAACAGTGTATTGTGTGTGGAATCAGAGAAACAAGACGATGTTTGAAGGGAGTTTCCCTGATGTTGAGTCAGCTTTCAAAGACATTATGTTCAAAGTAGCCTGTAGATGCTTAGATATCGATAGACATCACCTAATATTGCCTATGTAAGGCTGATTAGTACCTCTGCGCTAGCTGCTGCTTGATGTCGTTTCTGTAGTATTGTTGGATGATGTTGTCGCACCAGTGTATTGTACTGAGTTTCCTGTTGCTGTTATTTTGGCCCATGTATGGTTCTTGTTTTCAATGCTCAATGCCTTTGTTCCTGCTTAAGTTCAAGGTTGCTGCTTGTTGCTGTTACTTGCTAAAATTGGCAGTTAGGTTGCCTGGCCTTCCTCCTGCTGCTGCTTGCTTCGTGCTGGTTGCTTCTTGGTCAGCATGCTGCTGCTTTTAGGTCACCATGATGCTGTTGCCTTCACTGTTGCTTCCTGGTCAGCTTGCTGTTGCTGCCAGGTCACCATGCTGCTCCTGCTGCCTCCACTATTGTTGCCTGGTCAGCTTGCTGCAGCTTGGGCAGCATGCTGCTGCTGCTGGCCTCACTGCCTGTTGCCTTCACTGGTTGCTGCTGCCTTCATGCTTGTTGCCTTCACTGCCCTCTGCTTGCTGCTGCCTTCATTGCCCCCTGCTAGCTGCTTGCTACTGCCTATACTGTTTTTGCCTCACGGCCTCTACAGGCTGCCTGCCTTCCTGGCGACCTGCTGAAGGTGCTGTTTTTCTCCTGCTTGCTGCCTTCTCTGTTGTCGTTGCTGCCTGCTTGGTGAAATTAGCCAGGTTGCTAGTGGGCTTGTTATGTTGTTGTGTTGTGGCTGTGGTTATGTTAAGGTGCTGAGGCATAGGCTTGGAGGCTATGTTTTTGTTGTTATGGCTTGTAACATTTTTTATGTTCTGGTTTTCTTGTTGCTTGTTTAGTTTGGCAACCATGTTATTTTGGTTTGATTGCTAGCGTGTTGTCCTTCCCCTGGGTCGGGAGCGCCCTTCCTAAAGGGTAGCTCCCGTCCTTTGAGGTGAGGTAGCCTTCTCTTTTACTTGGTCCGAGTTCCAAGGGATCCCATCCTAGAAGGTGGCTTTTGGGTCTTGGACCTTAGGCTGGGGTTTGTGCCCTTTGGGCGTGTGTTTCATACTGTACTTGCCATATTTTTGGCTTGTTCTTTGGTAATACAAATTTTATTTACCAAAAAAAAAAGGGATGTAATATTAAGACTCTAAGTTTGTTTGTAAAGCCTTTAAATAGGGTCAAGTTTGCTTTTGGGAAAATCTTTTGCCTGATTTTGAAATCAATGATATTTACTTTCTCCTTAATCTTGGTGAATATTTGCTATCTTTGTGATTGCTACTTTGTAATATTTGTGCTTACACCTTAATCATAGCTTTACTTGGTGTATGTTACCTTTGATTAAGAGCCCCTATTTCATAGAATTTGGTGATTTTTGAGATATGTTTATCTTGTGTTGTTGCAATTGAATTGTTGTTAGTTGGTATTCCCCTCTTTTCTTGGTTATTACATATCAAGTTGTTTATAAATCAATTAACCTCACTTTGTTTTTATCTTAACTTTTTCTTTAATTAATTCTTATTAATATTGTGGAAGAATGACCCTTTCTCATCACTTTGATTCGAACCAACCATCATCATTCCTCTATGTCTTCCACTAATTCCTCTCTACCTCGCCTTGTATCCAAGCAAATGGTATGTTTTGCGGTGGTGGTGGATGAGATAATTTAAGGGAAGTAAGGTAGAGGTTATGGCCAGGATGAGGAGCGATATAGAGAGGAAGGAGACATTAGTGGTAGGTGCTGGTGGTTATTGAGTAGGACGATGAAACACTAGGAATGGGTCAAGGCCTCAAGGAGAAAGTTTGAGGAGAAAGAATGGTAATAAAGAGAGTATTAAAGGAAGGGTACTATTGGTATTTTGAGATATTAAACTTACTAAATACTTCCTCCACTTTTCAGAGTTCTACTTAATTACTGTAACTACGCAAACCAAGAAAAAGCAAAAAAGGAGATCATATACACGGGTAGTTTTACTTTAAACAGGAAAGAGATATTAATTTGTTTGTATCTAGTTAATCTTACGAACTTTAAAAAACGGAGGTAGTATATGGCTTTGTTTGGTCAACATTAAGGAAATTACATATGACTCCATTGACTCGTTCACTATTTTAAGACTTTTAGCTCCACGCCAGCCTTCACATCAAAGCCAAAACCATAAACTAGTTTCAATACCACTCCACCTACTACAACTACATTAAAAATTTATATACGTGGTTTTGAATCTTATGACTTTATGACTATGATGTTAATATGAATTTATCTTTATTTAATTTAGTAATTTTAATACTTCCTCCGTTCTTTTTTTTATCGCATCACTTACTACTTTAGGAAGTTTACTTATTATTGCATCATTTCTTTTTTAGGATAAAAAATATCTATATTCACACTGTAAATACCCAACATACCCTTACTTTTTCACACTTATTTTTTATTTTATCTTACATACATGGACAATTTTGTATTTTTACGTTTCTCTCTCTTACTTTTTCCCACTATCAAATTTTGCCTCCAAAACCCATATGATGCAATAAAAAAAACGGAGGAAGTATAAGCTTCTAAGTTACTTTATGCCT